TTCGGGCATGATTTCAGAGAGTGCTCCGTCGTCTCCTCACTTTACTAGAATCTGATGAAGATGATGGTGATACGGTCACGGAAACTGCCCCGTCTAGCCACTTTACTAGAATGTATGATCTCCCCAAAGGCTTTACTGATGCGTGGATGAGTGGATCAGGTGAGAAAAGGTTTACCCCTGAAGGTGAGTTTGAGGTCGGTCAACAGTTTGACAACAAAGAACAAGTCATCAATATGGTGAGCTTGTATTCTATCAAACGGAACCAATTTTATCGGGTGATAGAGTCTGATAAACACAAATGGGTGGCACAATGCAAAAGGAAGAAAGAATGTAATTGCCCCTGGAGAATACGCGCCACAAAGAACAAAGGCAATCTTGACGCCTTCACAATTGTGCGTTATCCTGGACCCCGTTCTGCTACGTGTGTTGGCAACACCGACACTACCGATCACGTGGCTTTGACTTCAGATTTCATCTCTAAAGATGTGATTGACATTGTTCGCACTGATCCTTCCCTTAAAGTGCATACTATCATTGAGATGTTGAAGGAAAAGTATGGGTATACGGCATCATACCGGAGAACATGAATGAGGAAGCAAAAGGCCATAGCAGAAATATTTGGCGGTTGAGAGAAGTCATATTCTGAATTGCCCCGTTTCATGACAGCGTTCCAACATTCAAATCCTGGAACTATTGTGCAGTGGTACCCACCCCCTAATACTCCCACAGGTTATATGCAGTTTCAAAGAGTTTTTTGGGCATTCAAGGCATCAATACATGGTTTTAAGCATTGTCGACCCGTACTTAGTATTGATGGCACACACTTGTATGGAAAGTACAAGGGTACATTGCTCGTGGCCATGAGTTGTGATGCGAACAACCAAATATTTCCAGTGGCCTTTGCAGTTGTTGAATCTGAGAATGGGGATAGTTAACCATGGTTTATGGCATGTATTAGGCAGTTTGTCACTAATAGGGAGTTGTGTGTCATTTCTGATCGGCATGGAGGTATTGTCAGGGCAATGAATGAGGTGGGTAGTACTTGGGAGGAGCCTTATGCGCATCATAGGCTATGTATCCGCCATCTTGCATCGAATGTGCACACTCATTTCAAAGACATTCATCTAAAAAATCTTTTTGTCTGGAGCATTGTTCTAAAACTCGCTAGGCGCTAGTCGGGCGGTTGAGGGGCGCCTAGCGCCGAGGCGGCCGACTAGGCCGATTTTTTGGCCGACTAGGCCGATTAATCGGTCCGCCTAGGCCGATTTTTAGAACAATGGTCTGGACCGCACGACAACATCAGAAAAAGAAGTTTGATGGTGGGTTCAAGAAGATAGGTGAAATGAGATTGGAGGCACGACAATTTCTGGGAACATTCCCCCGGAAATGTGGTCATTACACCACGATGGCGGGTACAAATACGGTACCATCACTTCTAACCTGGCAGAAATTTTCAATAGCGTGATGAAAAATACCAGAGGAACGGTTAGATGTGGAAAATGCCACCAAACCGGCCATAATAGGGCCACATGTGCGAAGAGATCGTCAAGACACGATGAGGGGTCTAGTGGGTAAGGTTTTAATTATAGTAATTCACAATTCATCTTAGCGTTGCATGAAAACATATTATTTAATAAAATGGATAATTAAAAAAAGAATTAGTATAATAGTAAAAATTAACTAATACAATTTTGTTTGTTTGTAGGCATGGAGGTGACGGCGGATCCTGGGCCGAGTGATCATTCTGTCCTGACATTGCAGGCCTCGCACAGGAGTGAGGATGTTTGGCTTGGCCTCGATGTTCAGGTTGATAGGTGCCGCGAGCACCTGCGGGGTTTGTCGCATATGCACGTGGACGACAGAGTACTAGCTTGTATATGTTCGTGCTACGGGTTTTTATGGTCTGCATAGATTGGTGGCTAATATCCCTCTCAATAGAGCGCTACTCATTGCTCTTCTTGAGCGTTAGAGGCAGGAGACACACACATTTCACCTCCCTGTTGGTGAGGTGACAGTGACCTTGGGAGATGTTGCTATACTGATTGGGTTACAGGTTGATGGGAGAGCTGTTACAGGCACTGCTTGTCGATAGTGGGTAGATGAGTGTGAGCGGTTGTTAGGTATCCGCCCCGTTCTTCGGACTGACCTTCAGGGGTCATCTTTGGGGATGCCATGGTTGAGGGAGCACTTCTAGGTGATTCCTCCGGGCGCTGATGAGGTGATGATCCAGCATATGCACGAGCATATATCTTGATGATGATGGGAGCCTCCATTTTCGCTAACAAGAGCGGAAATGAGATGCAGGTGCTGCACTTGCCTATGCTAGAGAGGTTTGATGTAGCAGCACAGTTCAGCTGGGGTAGTGCCACACTGGCTTATCTCTACAGACAGCTGTGTCGCGGCTGCCATAGAGGGAGCACAGAGCTTGGTTTTTTTTGCTGCTCCTCTAGATTTGGTCATGGGAGTATATCCACATTGGGTGTTCCATTGTAGTCGCATATCATGGCATTGATGGACACTCACTGCCTGATGAGCCTCCACGTCTTCTGGGACCACATCATGTATGGGGCGAGGACCCTCTGGGTCGTCGGTATGTTTTCAATCGTTGGTATTTATGTTATTGTATGTTGAATGTAAATATATTAATAATATCCATATTAATGAAACGGTTATATGAATGGTTAGATGGCTATATGTTGGCCTATGTCGCATGTCATCCACTACTGAGCTCGGTGTCTACAAGGATGCATTTGATTGGATGTCTGAGGATCAGGTATGGTGTGGGTAATATAACATTAACTATAATATGTATAACATAAATACTAATTTTGTATCTTTATGAAACAGATCACATGGATGCCGTATACAGTCGAGATGTTTGCAGAGTTGCCCCCAGCTGGACGAGAGCATAGTCACATATGGCGAGCACGTGTGTCGTTGATATGTTTTGACATTGTTGAGCTTCATTTGCCTGATTGAGTCTTGCGACAGTTTGGGTTTGAGCAGGTCATTCCACGGCCTATCGACACTTATGTAGAGCTTCATAGGCTGGATAGGCGTGGGAAGCATACGGAGGATTGGGCACTGAGACATGTCCGATACGTCACTCTGTGGGACAGGCGAGCTGAGCTAGTTGTGACTGAGACACCGACATTTGTCCCATCTGTTTCAGGAGACTACATGAGATGGTATTACAGCATCACTCGTTTGTTTGTGTCTCCTTCGTTCAGACTCCCTACTCATCATTACCAGCCTAGCTTCTTGGCTTTGCATCTTACGGTGAGTATACTACTAAATAGTAAAGTAAGTCATTTTATTTATTTAATACTTGTATGTATTTCAATGTAATTGTAATTGTGTTTCATATTTCAGACACGAGCTTTGCAGCGTATACATCAGCGGGCTACTGCCACAGTGAGTGATACTCATGATGTGGACATGTATGGACAGAATCTGACAGGCATTGCCTCCTTGTGTTCAGATGTGTTGGGGCGAGTCGACTACGGCCATCTTATACACATGCCCCCATCTCGGGAGATGCCGTCGACATCTAGTGCAGCGGCGACTTCATCATCCCAGACGCAACATGAGAGAGTGGTTCTTCAACCACGTCCATGGCGTAGGCATAGACATCAACATCAACATCTCCATGACCAAGATGATCAAGATGACCATGAGAACTTGTAGTTTGTCTTTTGTATTGCAATTTTTCTTGTACAATAGATGTTGTAGGAACAAATTGCAACTTTTTACGTATTTTCTCTTGTAAACTCTTGTATGTTGTCTTGATGTGTTCGAGTATGAATATTAGATGATTACTTGTTATGAATATGGAATGATTGTACTGTGTTTTACCGGTTATGAATCTAAGGTTTTGTATCCGATTTGTAAAGGGTATTTACATGGTGTTTTGTATGTTGTTGAGAGTAGATGTTATGTATGTGTTTGTGAACAGACGTGATGTATGTTTTATAATGTGTTGCATCTGGCTCGTAACACTTAAACATGAGAAGGGAGACCTTATTTATAACGAACAGATGAGTCTGGGTTGAACCGGGTAGGATTGTAAACGAATCAAATAATTTGTGTTCGATTCGCCATTCGAATTCGTATAAGACGACTCGAATTCGAAAAATTCAAATACAAATAAGAATATTAAATTTGATTCGAATTGTTATCAAATACAAATAAGAATATCAGTGTATTCGATTCGAATATTAATCAAATATATTCGATTAATAATAATGGTAATAATAATATCAATATCAATATTAATATTAATAATAATAGCAATAACACTATAATAACTTTTAAAAGATAGCAATACTCTCAAAGTGTAGCCCATATATACATTTTTGCATGCAGATTCCAAACCCATATGTAATAAACCAGAATATAAATACGAATTCAAATCATTTTTTTGGTTCAAATGTCTTTCAAATACAATACAAATAATTATGTATTTGATTTGAAGAATAAAATTAGAGTTGTTTGACTTTGATATATACAATTATCTACTTATTTCACACATTATTAGTATACTTTCTAATATGTGTGTTAGTTTTTATTTTCAAAAAGTTTGAAATTGATTTATATTTATTAATCATAAAATTAATTTACTTTAGTATATTTTGCACCATCTAAAAATGCATTGATCCATTAAATTTAAATTCTAAAAACACATATTAAGTCATATCATGCTTTACAACATAAAAAATACGGAGTATAAGAAAAGTTATCTTAAAGTGATATTTGACTAATATTTAACATATTCTCAAATCGATTCGATATTCGTATATGATTCGTTGACTATTCCGTCTATTCATGTTGTTAAACATATACAAATACAAATCGAAATTAATATTCGTTTGATATTTGAATTCGAATTCGTATTCGAAAAAATTAAACAAATACAAATACAAAATCTCATTATTCGACTCGATTCGTTTACAACCCTAGAACCGGGGCAAAAAACATGCTAAAATTCTGTTTTCGGAATTAGGCACGATCGTGCCTACCCTTGCAGGCATGATCGTGCGTGGCTGGCAGTAGCTGCTGGTCTGCGTTCATATGGAAGGGGTAAGTCGCCCAACCGTTGAAAGATTTTCCCTGACCATGTTAAATCCAACAATAGATCAGTAAATACTTTTTTTCAACATTATTTTTGTAATTAATTAATTAACATTAATTCGAAAAAAACTCGTATTAATTTTCATTATTTTATCAGCCAGTGGCAAATTCTAAGTAGAACTGTCGGAAGGGCGATGCAGAATTTTCAGAATACCTGAATATAATCAAGAGCCTCGATTCCGGCCTACGTCCGAAGTCGTCGATCCATAGAGAATACGAGGCAGGCATCTAGCATAGCTGAATCAAGAGGATTATTTAGGTCTTCGTCCACTGTTTTGTTATTGGATTGGGATATCAGACTTTGAGCACGAGCAGAGGCAACCATGACCGGTAATCTCTAAACAATTGGATATTCTTTGGTTTCTTAGCAAAAAAGTAGTTGATGGATTAGTATTCATTGTTTTTTCTGCTTGGACTGTGTTATTCTTCTTTATTAGGAAGGTGCTAACTCACATGTTCTTTAACAAGTTGAGTTCTATAACAGCCAGTCAAAGCTTGTTATTGTCTTTGCTCAAGTTGAATTGCAATAAATATGTGAAAGTGGGGACTTTTTCACGTTGCAAACTAGTGTGCACTGTCAGATTACTGATGAGTGCTCTAGTTATATATAGGAATTATATACACGTATTTGATATTTCAACTCTTGATCAGATTATGTTCAGGAGCAAGAGATGGAAATTGAAGCATTAGAAGCTATCCTTATGGATGACTTCAAGGGTCTGTGTTCGACTATGCTTGATGCTTATTTTGGTGAGTACCAGCTTGTGTTACTCTCACGAGTAATATAATCTTTTATTTATTTTCCAGAACTTCACACGGGTGAAAGTGGACTAAACACATCCAGAAGATGCTTTCAGATTGCTATATCCCCTCAGGTATACATATACATATTGTTAACTCTTAAGTGTATTGTGAAAATCTCATCCTTGAAATACAGTTCTCGTGATTAATATGATATATAAAAAAATAATTAATTGGTTTGAATTTTGAAATTTGAACACTTTTTATCATTCGTAATTAAAGTTTCACGTTTTATTGATTCTCGTTGCTTGTATCCAAAACCCCGATGATGTTTTAATCATTTATCATTTGGCTATGAGTTTCATTATCAATCAACAATCTTATAGTCTTATAAACCTTGCCTATGTTTTGTAGGAGGAGGAAGCAGATGAACCTACAAACTCATCAGGTTTTAAAGCAGTTGCTTCCTGACAACCTCAATCACTGTGCTATTCTTACTTTATTATGTTGACTGCTTTGAGTAATTATGCTCACCTCCTGACTGCATCTGCAGTTCGGCTTGCTTTGATTTTTGCACACACTGAAAGGTATCCTGATGAGCCCCCACTTTTGGATGTCCAAAGGTATGAGCTGCACATTTTAATCGCCAAAAAATGGGTGAAAATGAAAATTATACCGTTCGTCATATATAAACTTTGACATAAATTTTAGCTTGTGGGTTTATGGTCCTAAGGATGGATCAGGCCATATGGTCAATGTTTCTTTGCTTATATATCAATTTCGAGGCTAACTGAGCTTATATGGGGAATTGCATAATTGATGTGTTTTAATACATCTTTGTGGTAGTTTTTCAGTTTAAAGGGAATTCAAGGCGGAGACCTTAAAATTTTGAAAGAAAAGCTTCAACAAGAGGTATTTTCCACATTGCTGTTCTTCTCCCCATTCTTATGCACTCTTTGGCATATTTACACTAACCATAGCTCATATGTTATGGGTAAAGAATTTGCATTCTGAATATTCTTTCAACCTACAACATCTACTTCAATGAATTTATAGAAGTACAACTGAACGTCTGAACTCATATCTTGCTGTTGAAACATAGGATTGTTCAGTAAATTTGGTGGAGGGAGACTTCCATCCCACCTCTTCAACAAGGCTCATGTAGCCTGCAGACAAAAAATCTAGATGTGCCATGAACTAAATTTATTGGAAATGTTTGGCTGTTGCATTTTACCACTTTGGAGGGCCATACTTTGTGATGCAGCTTAAACTGTTGTGATTGTATTCTACAGGCAACTGAGAATCTTGGTATGGCAATGATCTTTACATTGGTCACATCAGCGAAAGAGTGGTTATCCGAACTATTTTCCAAGGATGCTAATGATGAAAATGCTGGGGAAGCTGAAGTTGCGAAAGATGAGGTATATTATTTAACTGTCCAACCTGTGGCATAAAGATATCCAATATATGTGTCAAGGTTGCATGTATCCAACATGTGTACTACAATTTTAGGACTTAACTGAAAGGTTTCTAAATTGAAATGGAAAATGTGTTTCTGTCTTTAAGGTTTCTTCAAGTCAAGGTTGCGTAATAGGATTGTCATTAGTAATTGCATGCTCTGTTTATATGAGAATTTTGCTTAGCGTTCCCCTAAATATGACTATCAAAACTTACCATTTTCAATATGACTGAAGAGAATTAGCGCACCTATAATACCTCTCATTACTCTTACACATTAATTTCTTCACTAGTTCACTGCCCATCGCTACCTAACCCCAACCCGACTTTCCACCAATCCACAATCCTACCATCTTCAGTTCTTCACTGTCCATCAAACCCATCACCACCTGGCTTTAACCTCGCTATCCATCATCACAATTCACAAAACACAAACGTCATCACTGCCCATCAAGACCAATCTAACCTCGCTTCCTGCCACCGACGCACAACCCTAACATCTTCAATATCCATTCATTTGCCTTCGTAAAGGATATAAAATCAGAAAAACGTGATTGACCAATGGCCATCTATGTTTACTTATCACTGCGGTAAAAACAAGGAAAAACCAACTCCAGTAACCATTGAAGATATAGATCTTGAATCTCGATTTGCTCGAAAAACATGGAGGCCTAGAGGACTAGAGGGGTTAGGAAGCCATGGCAGAAAGCTTGCAAAAAAAGAGATGAACCATACCAGAAAATATTGTGAAGGGTGTTGACCAACAGTTCTACAGAAGTCAATTGCTTTCTTTTAATTTTTTGATTGCATGGGTTGCTTTATTATTTTTGAAAGTGTTTTGTGCGGTAGCAGAGGATGAAGCCATCACCTTAAATAAGTGGGATGTGGGGTTAGAGTGAGAAAGATAGTAAATGAGTTACGGAGTATGATAACCATGGCTGAAATTTTGTGGGGCCTGGGTGGGGGAGAAAGATAGTATTATACTAAAATTGCACGGAAATTTACACGAGAGGTAGGTTTTTAATTAATTGGGTAGGGCATATTAGTGTAAAAAAGTACTACTCTCTAGTCTCTGTCCCAAATTAGACTTCCTGTTTTCGTTTTTGGTCTGTCCCAACTTCCAAATAATCTTACTCTTTCCTTCTTAGAAAATAAATAATTGGTTCTCATCATTTCACTCGGTTCTACTCAAACCCACACCCCCTCTTTTACTTTTTAACCATCTTCTTAATAAGCATGCCAAATCCAAAACAAGAAGTTTATTTCAGCACCTAGGGAGTATTTTCTAGTGCTATTTATGTATGACAGAATGAGTCTTAATTGGAGAATGAAAACAGTGTTCTTATCTATGGATACACTTATATTTAGCCATATAGGGGTAATTATTTGTATATAGTCCTATGATGCATGCTACTATATAATATTATGGAAAGATAAACAGAGCAATCAAGTAGAATAATGAGGAGTAATATCTGATTGATTTGCTTGATTGAGTTTATTATGATTTGATTTTGATACCTTCATTATTTATTCTATTTTAGGAAGTGATTTTCTAGGATTTCCGTTCCCTTGTTATCTGGATGTAATCCCTCTTATAAAAGGGAGCTTTGTTATGCTAATAAGATATCGAAGAAAAATTAAGAAGAAATCAAGGAGAAGGAAAACTCCCCAAATTTCCACATCCCCTATCCATTTATCATTTTTATTTCATTCCCGTGACGCAAAGAATCTCGGTACATAACATTTTGGTTCCGTTGCCGACGTCATGGGAAATTTCACACTTCCTGCAGATCAGTACACACTCCTCTTAGAGATACAGAAGGAGTTACACAAACTGATAAGCGAAGGGCATCTTCGCAATCTGGAAATTACAGTGCAAAAGGTGCAAGAAGCATTGCCACCATTAAAGGAGTCACTTCAGAAACTTTCTAACCATGTTGCCAACCTTTCCGAATCAGTTGACTCCTTGGGAGGAGATGAATTTCTGCCTCAACCACCGTCACTAAACACTTCATCTGCAGAATTTCTGTCTCAACCGTCGTCAGCGTTGCTTCCAACACAACATCTTCTAGAGCCAACGCTGTCTGCAACACCCATATTTGCAACACCCATATTGCAGACTGCTCTACCCAATAAACTACCCAGAACAAACTTCTTGGACTTCCCCGATTTGGTCCACTAAGCCTGTCCCAGTTTGCCATTGTATACCAATGGAATTTTTACTGGACGCTGATGACCTTGGGCATAGTCCACCGCTAAGAGTGACTTTCAATCTTCTTCAAGAATACAAGGATCACTGGCACTTTTTATTGGTGCAGTCATTCAAAATCCAGTTCAAGTTTTCAAGCTTGAGGGCAAGCTTGATTTTCCAGGAGGGGTGTAATGATGCATGCTACTATATAATATTATGGAAAGATAAACAGAGCAATCAAGTAGAATAATGAGGAGTAATATCTGATTGATTTGCTTGATTGAGTTTATTATGATTTGATTTTGATACCTTCATTATTTAATCTATTTTAGGAAGTGATTTTCTAGGATTTCCCTTCCCTTGTTATCTGCATGTAATCCCTCTTATAAAAGGGAGCTTTGTTATGCTAATAAGATATCGAAGAAAAATTAAGAAGAAACCAAGGAGAAGGAAAACTCCCCAAATTTCCACATCCCCTATCCATTTATCATTTTGTTGTGGACTCTTTTTGGGGTCACACTTATAAACGACGCATAAATGGTCCAAGGGGTTGAGAGTCTACATCTGGAAATGGCTGAAGTTGGGAATAGGATATAGTTTCCTAATTCTAGTTGGTTTCCTAATTATAGTTGGTTTCCTAATTCTAGTTTATTTCCTTATTCTAGTTACTTAATATGGCTGAACTGGGAAACAAGGATACTGTTTCCTAATTCTATTTTTAAGTCCTGATTCTAATCTTGTTTCTAATTTTTGTTTCTTTCCTATTTAGAACTCTAAGCAGCCTCTCTATATAAAGGGTTTTTTGCTATGGAATAAAGTACGTTTTTGGAGAATTAATTTGTGCGTCTTGACAAGGTCGGGCGCCGATTAGTTTAACAAGAATAGCTTCATTAAACTCTGCTGATTATTTTTCTCGTTCCCGATTAATATCTCGAACGCATCCCTGGACTAGGGCTAGCTCTCGTCTCCTTAACAATTTGGTATCAGATTTGGGCACGATGGGCAACGCACCGGTGACAACTGAAGCATTGAAGGCCTTATTACAAGGCGTCGATCAACGTCAAATTGATGTTGAAGAACAGTTGGCCGATATCAAGAGCACCGTAACCAACTTGGCAGGAATTCCAGCAGCGTTTGGTGAGATGAGCAAAACTGTGACCAGCCTGTCAAACACTATCAACCAATTGTTGCAGGATCCCCCATCATCCAGTCCACATGTTGGGCGGCCACGACATACCGATAACCACCAACGCGACTCAGACGATGGGATGGTTCCACGCTACTCCAAGTTGGAGTTTCCCCAGTACGATGGATCCAATGATCCATTAGTGTGGCTGAAGCGGTGCGAGCGGTTCTTCGCGCAGCAGCGCATCCAATCGCAGGCACAAGTAGGGTTGGCTACTTTTCACATGACTGGTAATGCCCAACTTTGGGCAGATCAGTTAGATCCAGTGGGAACAAGCCTTAACTGGACGGAGTTCTATATCCGTTGTTTAAAACGATTTGGGCCCCCAAGCAGCCACAACCCGGAGGGTGATCTGGTGAATTTAAAGCAAACGTCTGACTTAGAGTCTTATATTACTAAGTTTCAGCAGTTGCTAGCCCGAACAGCTGGAGTGTCGACCCGCATGCAAATCAAAATTTTCATGGCTGGACTTCGCGAGGCAGTACGCGTGGAGGTCGAATACCAGGAACCCGTTGATCTTGACACAACCATGATGCTCGCCAGAAGCAGCGAGCGCAAATTCATCGCAGCTGCGACTTTAACAAACAGCAGTACATATGGATCTGGTAGGTCCAGTACTCAAATTCCTCACTCCGTTACCCCTGAGCCGACACCAGTAAAGAAAAATTACAACCCTACGTTTAAAAAATTAACTCGGACTGAAGCTGCTGCACGACAAGAAAAAGGATTATGCTACAACTGTGATGAAAAGTGGATCCGTGGCCACCGATGCAAACGATTATTTTTCGTCGAAATTGTGGATGACGACTTTGAAGAGGCCCCTGAAACCCAGAGTGAGCCTTCCTTGTCAATCAACGCAATGACTGGGTTCGGGTCACATTCCACCATGCAACTAGCCGCAACCTTGTTTGGACAGTCCCTGAAGGTTTTGGTCGACTCAGGAAGTACTCACAATTTTATCCACCAACGTTGGGTCCCCATGAACACCCTGCAGCAGCACTCGGGCACCCGCCTACAAGTTTTGGTGGCTAATGGAGACCGAGTACCCATCATTGGTACATGTTCGCGACTTCCGTTCACTGTTAATCAAGATAACTTTCATGCAGATTTTTATGTACTGCCGTTATCCGGTTTTGATATGATTTTGGGCATCCAATGGCTTTATGGGCTTGGCTCCATACAATGGGACTTCTCAAAACTCTCCATGCAGTTTACTTGGAATGGCAAACCAGTGACATGGAAGGGTCGTGGGGCCGATGTTTCAACTGTCTCTCACATGGCAATCTGCCAGGACAGTTCTAAACCCTCTCTCAATGAGCTTCTATTGCATTTTGAGGATCTTTTTCACAACCCCTCCGGCCTCCCACCCCAGCGTGCATGTGATCACCGCATTACCTTACTCCCAGGCACGGGTCCAGTTGTGGTACGTCCGTACCGCTACCCTTATTTCCAGAAAGATGAAATTGAAAAACAATGTGCTGAAATGTTGACGCAAGGGATTATTCAACCAAGCCGATCTCCATTCTCCTCTCCGGTACTTCTCGTATGTAAACCAGACAAGTCCTGGCGTTTTTGCGTTGATTACAGAGAGTTAAACTCCAAGACTGTTAAAGATAAGTTCCCCATTCCGGTTATTGATGAGCTATTGGATGAGCTTCACGGAGCAACTTACTTCACGAAACTTGACCTACGCTCGGGATATCACCAGATCCGCATGGCCCTTGAGGATGTGGAGAAAACAGCTTTTCGAACACATCATGGACATTTTGAGTTCCTCGTCATGCCATTTGGTCTGACTAACGCACCATCCACGTTTCAGAGCTTAATGAATGATGTATTTGGGCCGTATCTCCGAAAGTTTGTCTTGGTCTTCTTTGACGATATCCTCATTTATAGCAAGACATGGTTGGAGCATATGTATCACATCCGCCTCGTCCTAGAACTGTTACGATCACATGGTCTCTTCTTAAAGCAGTCCAAGTGCAGCTTCGGGGCCTCTCAGGTGCATTACTTAGGGCATGTCATCCACAGCAAAGGAGTGGAAGTTGATCCGACAAAGATTCAGGCAGTCCGTGATTGGCCTACTCCGACTTCTGCTATGGCCTTACGAGGGTTCTTGGGGTTAGCTGGCTACTACCGCAAATTCATTCAACATTATGGAGAGATAGCGGCACCCTTAACCCAACTCTTGAAAAAGAATGAGTTCACCTGGAATGCAACAACAGACGCAGCTTTCACAACGTTGAAACTCCGTTTGTCCACCACACCTGTGCTTCAACTCCCAGACTTCACTAAACCTTTCATTGTGGAATGTGATGCTTCTGGGAGTGGCATAGGGGCTGTTTTGCAGCAAGAAGGGCACCCAATCGCTTATTTCAGCCATAAAATTGCAGACCGCCACGTGAAATTAGCCGCATATGAACGGGAACTCATCGGGTTGGCTAAAGCGGTTACTCACTGGCGACCTTATTTGTGGGGTCAAGAATTTCTTATCCGTACCGACCACTCCAGTTTAAAACATTTATTGGACCAGCGTTTGACTACGTCCCCCCAACAACACTGGCTCAGGAAGTTAATGGGATTTAACTTTCGTGTTGAATACAAACCAGGGCGCCTTAACACTGTTGCTGATGCTCTATCTCGACGTGACAGATTGGAGCCTGCTGTGGCAGCTCTCACAATTCCTTTTACCACATTGTTGGATGAGATTCGAGCGATCCAATCACAGTCTCCAGAAATTCAGGATATTAAAAGTCAAATTCTAGCCGGTAATCGCACTACTGAATGGACCTCACATGATGGTCTGGTTTATTTCAAGCACAAATTGTTCCTGCTACCCGACTCCACAATAATACCTACCCTTTTATCAGTCTTCCACGAGATGGCACATGAAGGCATCACAAAAACTCTTTAGCGTCTGCGGCGTGAATTTTATTGGACCAGCATGAAAAATTCAGTGGCAAATTATATCCGCGAGTGTCAAACATGTCAACAACACAAGTGGTTAAACTTACAACCCGCAGGATTACTCCAACCGTTGCCAATCCCGGAACACATCTGGTCCGATATCTTAATGGATTTTGTGGAAGGCTTACCAAAGGTTCACGGCAAGTCCACAATCCCCGTGGTCGTCGACAGATTGTCTAAAGCTGCACATTTTATCCCTTTAAGTCATCCTTTCACTACTGTATCGGTGGCAGGGATTTTTTTTGCTGATATTGTCAGACTCCACGGACTACCAGAATCCATTGTCTCAGACAGAGATAAAATTTTTGTGAGTAACTTTTGGAGGGAGTTATTCCGTTTGTCAGGAACCAAACTTGCCTTTTCGTCGGCCTACCACCCTCAAACTGATGGCCAGTCAGAAATTGTCAATCGAACGGTAGAAATGTTCTTGCGTTGTCTCACTAGCGCACACCCTCGCGAGTGGGTTCGTTGGCTTCCATGGGTGGAGTATTGTTACAACACTTCTTACCACACCGCTTTGGGTGACACCCCTTTCCGATTAGTTTATGGACGAGATCCCCCCAAACTGGTGACATATACCCCTGGAACAGCTAAGCTAGAAGGCGTAGAGCAGGAACTCCTGAACCGCGACAGCATCGTATCTGAGGCTAGACTACGATTAGCTCACGCACAGAACCGCATGAAACAATACTATGACAAAGGGCACCGCGAGTTATCTTTCACGGTGGGTGATTGGGTCTGGTTACGTGTGCATCCATACCGGCAGTTAACACTGGTCTCCCGTCACCACAAGTTGCTGCCGAAATTTTATGGTCCCTTTCAAGTCACCGCAAGGATTGGTACAATGGCATACAAGCTACAGTTACCCACAGAGAGCCGCATACATAATGTCTTTCATGTATCTCTCCTCTAGCCACACAAAGGACCCGTACCAGAAACCATGGGTTCCTTGCCACCACAAGATACTGTCCCAGAGGTTTTGAGGCCATCCACAGTGTTGCGCAGTCGGCTGAATCGCGGGGTAATGGAGGTGCTGGTCCAGTGGCATGAGAAGCCCATAGAAGAAGCTTCTTGGGAAACAATGGCGTCATTTTACAAGGCTTATCCGGATTTTAAGCTTGAGGACAAGCTCTTTGCTAACAGGGGGAGTGATGTTGTGGACTCTTTTTGGGGTCACACTTATAAACGATGCATAAATGGTCCAAGGGCCCGAGAGTCTACATCTGGAAGTGGCTGAAGTTGGGAATAGGATATAGTTTCCTAATTCTAGTTGGTTTCCTAATTATAGTTGGTTTCCTAATTCTAGTTTTTTTCCTTATTCTAGTTACTTAATATGGCTGAACTGGGAAACAAGGATACTGTTTCCTAATTCTATTTTTAAGTCCTGATTCTAGTCTTGTTTCTAATTATTGTTTCTTTCCTATTTAGAACTCTAAGCAGCCTCTCTATATAAAGGGTTTTTTGCTATGGAATAAAGTACGTTTTTGGAGAATTAATTTGTGCGTCTTGACAAGGTCGGGCGCCGATTAGTTTAACAAGAATAGCTTCATTAAACTCTGCTGATTATTTTTCTCGTTCCCGATTAATATCTCGAACGCATCCCTGGACTAGGGCTAGCTCTCGCCTCCTTAACACATTTTTATTTCATTCCCGTGACGCAAAGAATCCCAGGACATAACATCCTACATCCTCTCCAAGTTCATGATTCAATTTTTATGTCCCCAAAAACTGTCATTATATGGTTAAAACAGAGTTAATGTTTCATGTACTCCCCTCCCTCAAAAAAACGAAAATCACTATGATGAATTTATTATAACAGAAAAAATTCAATTCTAAACCTTGACCAAACATGACCCCTTATTTGGGACTTGGGAGGGGCAAAGTATCTCATAGAAGTACCTAGTGCAAATGATTAGCGCTAAAATACTATAATAGTGTATGTACTTTTGAACTCTTTCTCCAATAGGTTTTTTAATCAAGTTATTTTACATGTCCTTGTCTTCACATGCATGCCAATATCATCTGTCATTCAGTTCACCTATATTTAGATCCATTCAAATTGAATGTGGCTCTATTTTTATTACAGATAGTTGTGCCTCATGGAGAACCGGTGACAATTGAAACATTCTTGGCATGGAGGGAAAGATTCGAGGCAGAACAGGCCCTCGAAAGAGCCAAGTAAGTAGAAAATCCTTGTGTGGCTCACTCATAAGCCTTGCAACCAAATCAAGAAAATTCATATGTATGTTATGGACCCCTGTGAGTCATCACTGGTTCTTATCATACAGTTTTAAAACTCGCTTCATATGCAGTTAGCAATTAGTACATTATGATGATGGTACACAAATATTTGTCAGTGATAAAGTTTCCATTAAAGTTGCAAAGAGCAAGGTGAATAGGAGGGCAATAAATATTTTTCCATAGAGTACACTAATTATTTATTAGTTTATTAGATTTCAATCTTAAGCTTCTAATTTGTTCCTATTGAGATGGCCATCATGAAAGCAGCATGCATTATATTGTCATTTGTAACAAGTCTATAATACTGAAGGGAAGAACATATAATGCCTAACCCTTTTGTTCATATGCATGAATGTAAAAGTTGCATTCGTGTTTGCTTGTGTGTGTGTGAGTGACAATTGTGGAAGTCATGATAAATAAAAAATATTCAGGTTAATGCCAGATTCAGCACTTTCAGCACCCAAAGAGAAGAAGCTGACAGGCAGACACTGGTTTGAAAGTGGAAGAGCATCTGCGGTATTTCTTTCAGTACTTTTACTATCTTCCTTCCAATGAACGTGTTTAGTATACTATATTAGTCGTGGCCCGCATGAGTTGGGCCTATGCATTTATTTCACCAAGATTCATTGGATCTTGAGCATTATTTTCCAATGCTATTTGATCCAAATCCCATTGGCTGACTGACTCTTTTCTTATGGAGATAAATAAATTCGTAATGGCTATGTTTGTAACGCAGAAGATTGTATGGAAAAGGAAAAAATTCTTAGGAAAATAGTTTTTTATTTTTGTTTTTTATGTTCCATTTTACATTGAAAATATGAAAGAAACTCAGATTTAATTAAAACTTTTCAAAATTTCACAAATATATTCATATTTCTTATACTATAAGTATATCAAATGAATAATAAGTTCGGGCAAATGTCTAAATTTATATGAGTGAACCTTTTTTATATTTTCCCCTACATTTTATTTCCTTTCAAACCTTAGCTCTACTTTCCTTTTTATCCTTTCCCTAGCTTCTTCAGGGTTCCAATGGGACCCTATATACCAAGGGACCTTATATGTGTTCCCTTTCAGAGTCATAATGAAAATAATACACCAGAGAAAACCCCTATGCTTTTCTTTTTTTACCTGAATCTATTTTGTTGTTTGTTCTGTGCAGAAGGGCGCAACGGCTGTCACTGCTGAAGAGTCTGATGAAGGCGAAGAGGATATTGATTTTGATGATGAAGACTTTGAAGGTCACTTCCAGCTTCACCTAATCACTTCAGAGTTAATTTTAACAACAACAACAATAACATAACAATAGCAACAACACTAATTATATAATAATATACGAGTAATAATTATCATGATGATCAAGCCAAATTAAATATAAAAATAGTAATGGTTATATTATATTATTATACTACGTAATAATGAATAATGATAGTAGTAGCGGTGGTAGTGTATTGGTAATGATGTCAATGGTCAACGGTAATGGTCCACGGTAAGACTACTATGGAGTAGTAATAATAATAGTCTTCTTTGTGTGTTTTGAGTAATCGTCATCATCATAAAAATAATACTAGTCATCCTATATACTTTTCTTCTAACTAACATTAAAAACCTGTTTCTGTGTTTGCAGTGGATGAGGATGACATGCTCGAGCATTATCTTGCTGAGAAAACAGTATCACCCTCCCATTCGTGATTTGTAATTGTTGACCAGTTATCATGTATTGCTCTAAAAAGCTCTCCGATTCTTTTGGGGTAAGTTTTTTTAGCCGGTAATGTATCTAATGTATCTCACTCTGGTTCTAAAGCTTACATTATTTAGAGAGCGGTTTGGGGACTCATCCTTGATATTCATTCATTTTGAATTTTGATAATCGTAATGTTCGTTAAGAATATTGAAGATCAAGCACGTATTTATTACGGAGTATTTGTTTAGGAAGTAAAAAAATCCCAATTGTACTTGTTTTTGACAAGTGGAGGATGAAACTTGATCCCAATATCCCATAGTCGTTAAAGCAGGGGTGCATATGAACATCTCTTGATGTATTAACTAATTAACAAGTGAATTTCTGCTTTTATTTTTATTGAAATAATTACACATTTATAACTTAAATAAAGGTTATTGATAAAAATGTGATTATAGTAGCAAGTTTAGTTATAGTGATTTATGTTCAATTTGTACACTCAAGTGAACATGAGTCCATGAATTTATACTATAGTAATTTGTGGTCATATTGTAAATAAATTATATGCAGTATTTTGATAATGTCTTCGAAAAACCTAAATTCCTAGTTTGTGTTCCTACGTGACTGAAATGTGTTTGAAGGTTCAGGTCCGTTGAGTCGTTTGGAATCTGGACACCTCTAATCGGTGAAATGCACTATTCGCACCCGTGCGATGCACGGCCGAAATATTCAATCTTAAATTAAATTAAAAAAAATAAAATTCAAAATGATACATCAAACATTTTACAATAATCACTTCAAGGACAAAAAAATCATCTTGTTCCACATAAGAGAACATGAATTTTTTGAAATGTTTTGAAGTATTTCCCATTTAGAACACTGGGTCGGGCCGGTTCCCAGGCCGGGTGGCCCGAACCGGGTCCAAGCCTAGTTTTCCTTCACAATTAGGCATGGACCCGGGCCGGTTCGGGGCCGGTTCAGGAAAGGGGAGGCCCGGAACCGGCCCGTGTAACCCCTGGGTCCGGGCCGGGCCTCGGTTCATTTTTTTTTGCCTTTTCCTAATTAACCCCTAACCACCCCCCTCACCCCCAAACCATCTCAAATGACTCAAAATACCCAGCACAACCCAAAAACTTAAAAAGAAAAAGAAAAAAAATGGCCCGGACCAGGCCCGAACCGGTCGGGCGGGTTCACGTTTTGAGAGGCCCGAGCCCGGACCGGAATCCCAGCGGGTCGGGCCTACCCGAACCGGTCACTAACCGGTCCACCGGGCTGGAACAGTGCCGGTTTGGGCCGGTTCCGGGTCGGGCCACCCGGCCCGAGTCCAACCCTGTTCACAATGTCAATCACAATGTCTAGATGTAGACATTGTGTTTGACATTGCAGAGGAAAACTTACCAAAAACACATAAGACCGTAGAAAGAATGAGAGAGAAATGTCATAAATTCAATTTTTGTGTCTATGTCTCTCATGCGACATGTGCATTGTGCACATTGTAGCATTGAAGATGCTCTTAGGGGTGCACTCAATTGAGACATTTTAAGATTTTCAGAATCTGGGTCACTGTTTATACTCAATTGAAACATTTTAAGACATTTGGAGAGTCTAGAAAAGTATTTAAAACACCAACACAACTCAGGATTCTTTTTTGGATTAGGATTTTGTGCGACTTCACTAACAAAAATACATTCAGAAATCCTATTGTCAAATCTCATGTATATACGTGAGATTTGCTAGACTCGTCACTCAGATTCTCAACTCCAAGATGAAAGAAGAGTTCGGAAACTCAGAACTGCAGTTCAAGGCTTCAGATATGTATACATATCTCAAAGCCATCTCCTCTTATACTTGCCAAAGAAGCCATGAATCTGCTACCTATCCGCGGCCATGTCGTAGCCATTAGAAAGTGTTTGTAATTGCTTCTGCTTAAAAAAAGTACGTTTGGAAATGTAATGAAAAAGTGATTAGTAATAAAAGTTGATAGTGTTTAAGAAAAAAGTGATTTTGAAAAGTAAAAGTTGGTAGTGTTTGGTAAATTTAGTGCTTTTTGTATAATAGAAAAGGGAAAAACACTTTTCACACGCAAGTCGATAAAAAATAAAAATTGGAAGTGTTTGATAAATAAGTGTCATCAATTATTTTGGCGAGGAAAAAAAGGACCAAACTGTTGACATCGACCATTCCTATCACAGAGGAAGCGAAGGCGGCTCAGAGCCACCACCTGAGGAGGCAAAACACACATCCGAAGCTGCTGCTCCTCCAAGAAAGGGAAAGGGTAAAAGAGAAAAAGTTGAAATCCCTCAAAATGTCCTTTGTGGAAATCCATCCAAATCCATATCAATATAAGGAAGTTCACCAAAGTCTCATAGGAATACAAATCTTAAATTGTCATGAAATGTCTTAAAGGAATACACCCCGTAGAGTGAAAAACTTAAATATGACAAAAATTGGTCAAAATGTGCAATTGGGACTACATTTTAAAATCCCCCAACAAGACTATTTATGTGTACTTGGACAAATATACTCTTGTAACTTTTGAAATGTTTTAATTCGTAATAAAATCATAAAAATAAAAAAATAAAAAATTGATAAAATGTTTATAAAATAAAATTTTAAAAAAATATTCAAAGATAAAAAAATAAAATAAAAACGTAATTAAAAAGAACATTGGCGTCTTTGACACCCCTAGCACCACCATCTCAGATCATCAAAGGGAATTAAGAAAACTTCCAATATTTCTAGTAATGTCATAATAATGGCAGATTCAATGAAAATATTAGCATTATCAACAGTAATAATGTCATTTTCTTTGCACTTTTATAAAAATGGTTTTTTTTTATTATTACAAAAATGACATAACTTTCACCGATTGAAGGTGGTGGTGCTAAGAGGCGGTGGTAAAGGTAATAGGTATCCATCTTTTTTTTTACCGATTTTTACTTTTTTCTTAATCCCTTTAAAAAAATCATATATATATGTAAATTAAAATTTAATATATATATATATATATATTAAATTTTTATTTATAAAAAATAATATAAATATTTATAAAATAAAAATTTAATATATATATATATATTTTAAATTTTTATTTTATAAATATTTATATTTTTTTTTATGTTTTTTATATTATTTTTTACAATTATATTATGAATTAAAATATTCATTATGAATTAATACCCTTAGGGGTATTTTGGGTAGAAAAACAATGTTTAGTCTTATTGGGGGATTTTTTATCCTCAAACCAACAAATATATTAAGGATGTTTTCTTTTGGACTGAAATTTGCTGGTCTGGTCTGGTCTGGTCTGTTTAAGTCTGGTCTGGTCTGGTCTGGTCTGTTTAAGTCTGGTCTGGTCTGGTCTGAACTGGTCTGGTCTGGTCTGGTAAACGTCTGGTCTCTGTGTATTTTATAACTACGGAAGTCTGGTCTGGTCTGGTCTGGTCTGTTTAAGTCTGGTCTGGTCTGGTCTGGTCTGGTCTGTTTAAGTCTGGTCTGGTCTGGTCTGGTCTGTTTAAGTCTGGTCTGGTCTGGTCTGGGACTGAAAACAGTCCAAAAGAAAACATCCTAAATCAACACAACGTTCGTCACATGGCTGATAATACAATCAAAGAAAAAGCAGGAAACAAAATGATAAAAAGCCTTTTGTCTGTTGTCTATCCTTGAACCAAATTTAGAATCTATCACATCTGCAGAAGCAGTAATATTCGTTGATCCTATGATGGGCATAATTGATCCAATGATAGCCAAACCGGACTTCTCATCACCTGACTTAAATTCTAGAATCTCTCTATTAGGAAATATGAACACATCCAAAACAGCATGCAATTCGAAAGAAAAACACAAACAGAATAAACGGAATTAAAACAGAGTTCACTCATCTTCTTCCAAACCCTAGACTCGCACTCCATGGAGGGATTTAAAAAATAGTAGTCCTATTTGTGTTTTTCATGCAAACTTTAGTCCTATTTAAGATAATTTCTATTATATTTATGGATGTTGATTGAACTATCTCCTTAAACTCGAATAAATCAGTAAAAATGTTTAATTTGTTAAAAGTTGAAAAATTAACTTTGAATATAAGTTTATTTATTGGCGTTGGAATACGAAAAGGTTGGAAAATGCATTGAAAAGTGAAAAGCTGGAAACACCGGGCTACGCACTGCATTTAATTTAATGTCCATCAGTCCATGTTAGAAAAGTTTTATCGAGAACTTACAGAGAAATCCATCCCAAAAGGTTTTATTTTATCATCAGGAAAGGATTGGCCCAATTAGTTTTGGTATCAACCTCCTCAGGAAGAATCCTTTTGTTATTATATTAGGAAAGACCGAAAGATAGATACAAGAGTACGTAGTATCAAATAATGGCATATATAAATAGATACAAGGATGATGGATAAAAACATGACATATTATATAGAGTGGTTTGTTATATTTTTTTAGTAATTGTAATTATGTTGAATTTTACACTATAATCATCATAGTTATCCATTCATATTTTGTCGTTTTTGTCAAAGACTAATTTTAGTAAAGATTTAGGAAAAACATATTCTTATATTCATAATATTTACTTGTAAATAACCACACAAATATTACTCAAAAGATGATCAAAGTGAAATTTCAGCATTGTTGCTATCAGTCGATCACTAAGTGACTATGCACGGTAGGGATTTTAGTAATCGAAGAATCAATTATATTCGAACAAACAATCATGAGTCACAAGCTCATCGCAAAGCGTACCATAACCAAAAATTGCTTCCTCTGAAAACTAAAAGGCAATGCCGACAGATGGAGATAACAATATTATGGGAATGTGAACACTGCCCCCATATTTCTTCTAGTGATGATCTTTGCCTCTAGCACATGTTTTCCGAGCTTAGTAGAATCAACCTGGTACGTTCCATTACATAATTACGCCGGCTAGTCTATATTTCTCAAGAGCACACTGCACCGAGATCGAAAGACTATAAAGAAATTCTGGTCTATACATGCCACTCTTACGACACAAACCAATATCTGAACTAATAATGTCATCTGAGCTGAGGTACATGACTTGGTCACCAGGAATCAAAGATAGTATGTAGTCATTTATTTGGAGAACCACGTCTAAAGTAGGTGCAAGTATAGCTTTTTCCTACAGGTAAGTTGGATCGTTGAGTCATTGTTGCAGGTTAGGATAAATGTGATTAACAATAGCTGCTAGGTAGTTATCTCCCGTCTTGATAAGAAATTCATCCGAGATTTCCACTTCTGAAACTCTATCTACTTGTTGTCCAATATCACTATCCCCGACCTTTAAAATCCATGAACCAAACTTTTCAATGTCAGTCTTTTCACCAGGAACAGTTGAAAGTAATCTCATATTCTTCGTGAGACGCTGAAGTGCACAATCACTCCAAAGATAAAAAGAGTTGATGGTTGTTATCACCACATCAGCTATTCCCCCATTTGGAATGGCTGACAAAATTTGTCAGAAGTCTCATCCAAGAATAATAACATTTCCTCTTCCATTATCTGGATAACTCATGCTCATAATATCTTTCAAAGTCTTATCTAAACCCTCAAAACCATGTATATGCACCAGTGACGCTTCTTCCCATATAGTTAGGGTGTGGATTGGAGGAGCTTTGCCTTGGGACTTCCTTGATTAATATTACAACTTGAGTTTACAGAGGTGTTTAGTGGGGTAGAAAATTTGGAATGTGTTGTCATACCTCTAGGCAATAGTAACAACGCTATTCCACTTGACACAACTGCAAAAACAATGTTTCCTGCACTCCTAATAGATGTTGCCACAGTATTCTGATCCATATTAATGTTTTTCCGATTCCACTGTATCTATAGACAAAGAAAACCACTATATAAAAGAGGAAATATGATTCACTACGTGACAACAATTTTATTACAAATATATTAAAATTTATGTATTTATTTTCAATTTAACAATGCCCATACTATCACACATTTTGAAAATATAAAAATACATTTACTTGTGGTGTTTTCACACACAACATTAACGATGTCCATGCAAATATACTTTTGCTCATCGGTTAACTGGTCAATGAGATGTGGTAGCAGTCGTGCCAAGTCTTTTGTGTCATACTCCATCTCTTCATTTATAAGCGCATTTTCAACATAACTTACATACGATGCATCCGATTTCGGCATACCTTCACTATTTGCAAGACTCTTTTCATTCCTTTGTAATATTCTTTCAATATATGCGAGACATTTATTCTTGTAATATTCTATGTAATGCTCTCTGCCTGCATTGACATAGAGTAGTTATAAAGACGCTATACAAGTGTTTTATTTTATAGCTAGACTTAAGAATAATTTGAATTACTTTACTTGCACGGCTTAAATAAACCTTTCAAAAGGCGGTACATGTAATCTTCGATCATCATCTCCCAACATGATTCCCAGACATTGTGGGGTCTGTGGACTGCATATGGAAATAGCATATTGGAAAATAAATACCTCAAATAACCGGCAGATGCCCAAACATCGACCTCTTTGGACGTGTCTATGTATTCACGGTTGTCACTGATCAATCCCAGTGCATAGCATGCTTCCTTATAATATGAATACTCAACCCCACTAATCGTGTGAATGGCTACAAAGCTCGTGCACCCTTTTACCTTATTCAATATGATTCACAGATACCAAAGCTCACCGGATTTTGGTGAAATGTTATGTAACCTACCTATTCCGTAGCCTTGTTTTTTGAATCCTCCACTTTTTCTGGTCTTGCATCCACACAAACTTGGTATGGAATCCACATATGTCAAACTTCCTGCCTCATCATATTGTATATTTGCTTTAAACCAACCTGTCAAAGTAGTGAGTTGATTTCCCCTTGCCTCCGTCATGGATTCTCTGGAGTAACTTTCTCTGTACGCGACAGTTGCTCATTCGACAAGTGACAACATAGTCTTTCAACTGGCAATGTTCTATAATGTATATCAAATGATAGAATTCTCCGCATCACTTCACACGCTAATATGTACCTAAAATTGTAGTACATCTTAATCTCATCAACTGCGTCCGCTTAGTTGCCGGCTTGACTGTTTTTATATAATGCAGTTGCGACCATATCATGCCATTTATTGATATGCTTAAATAAGTATTTGATTGAACGTGACTGGTTGCACCACTTAACGTTGATATGGGCGCAAAACTTCCGTAAGTGTCTGGGATTGTAAGGCACTACAAATCTATTATCAATGGAATTGCTTCTTGTGTTTACCGTTATGCCAGGGGGCCTTCTCCGCATAATGGATGTCTGGATACCTATCTTCATTAATGGATGTTGTGCGCCTGAAACACCTTGGGTAATGTTTTGAACAAACACCATATATCCTATGTTGTCAAAACCGGACCGGGAGGCAACCTGGCCAAGCTACCGGATCACGGGTCAACCCGGACCCGCAAGGGTCAGTCCGGTCAACGCCGGGTCAACCCAGTCAACGGTTATTGAAAAATAAAATATAAAATATACCTAATTAAACATTTGATTTAAGTTGTATGACAAAAAATATTCTCATTCGAAATATAATAATAGTTACAAGATTAAATTAAAATTTGATGTACCAATACATAAAAAGTTCACAAAATTAGTGATGTATTTGCAATTAGATAGAAAATATGAGAACATAATAATTATTATCTATGTACAAATTACAATTATGATGGCTAGATGTAGTAGATATTTAATAAATACGTATTAGTCTATTAATACTACGTATAATAATAGCTATAACAATAAAAATGGTTATTATTATGATTATAAATTGGAGTAATTAAAAATGGTTACGACAGTATAATATAAAATCAAAAAAATGAAAGCATGTACTCAAAATCCAAATAGCCCAGCTCACCAGCTGGCTGGATTTTGAGTACAACCGGTTGCACCTTGTGCATGGTACAGTCGGGTATTTTTGTAATATTCCGCTGACAACTTTAAGTCTTTCAATAATTTTCTAATCCCTAATATTTCTGATTTGTGCGCAGGTGTCGACCGTCTTCCTCGCTTTCGGCTTCAGCTGCTATGGAGACGGCGATTGAGAGGCCCAACTCACGAATGAAGGATTCCGGCTGGTTGTTTACTGCTTCTGCAACTTCCGATTCTCCCTTTCCCCTTCACGTGCCGGAAGGAGCTTGATGAGAAACCATTTCCGTAATCCTCTCTGAGTTCATACAGGTGTAACCGTCTCTAGCAAGGAATGAATCAAATTGGAATTACAGCTTAGCACAATGGAATTTAAAGGAAGCTGCTGATTAAGGCTTAGCATTCGCATCATCTTTTCTGAGTCGTCTTTTCTGACTACTAGTCTACTATGGATTTATCTCCAAACTACTATGAAGCAATCAAATCATGCACAATTATGAGCATAGTAGACATTTCAAATGAGTTTTTTGAATGGTCATTTCGTAATCTATGTATACTCATTTGATATTAGTGCAATATTCATTTTAAAATGTCATATTCATGCATATTTCAAAATGAGTTTTGTGTTAAACTCAAATGAGTATAACATCCAAAATGAATGAGTACACAGAAATGAGTTTTTAATATTTTGATACTCATTTGTAAGTTATGTATCACAATTATGAGCATAGTAGACATTTCAAATGAGTTTTTTGAATGCTCACTTTGTAATTTATGTAAACTCATTTGATATTAGTGCAATACTCATTTTAAAATGTCATATTCATGCATATTTCAAAATGAGTTTTATGTTAAACTCAAATGAGTATAACATCCAAAATGAATGAGTACACACAAATGAGTTTTTAATATTTCGATACTCATTTTGTAAGTTATATATGCTCATTTGGTACTGTTTTAGGCTCATTTTAAAAGGTTGCACATGTTAAACATGTAAACATATCATAATCCATTACATTCACATATTAAATTAAATGAAATTGATTATACACATAATTTAAGACTTTAATAAACGGAAATAATAATAAATGGAATGTGATATATGAGGAATGAAACAGATATCACTAATGTTCGCCGTTAGGCTCCTAATACTCAAAAGAACAGGCTCAATGCTCATTTAAGAGAATCCGTATTTTCACCAAAATTACAAATTTGCCACCGGCTGTACGACTGGTATCGTATAGCCGGTTGTACTATATATGCTTTCGATGTACGCAAGGTTACGCTGGGGACTGGGGTTCGAAACCCCTTAGGAGCATCATTTTGCTGGTAAACTTTGTGGGCTGCGGGGTTTTCCGGGTTTTGGATCGGGTGAATGGAAAAATTATATTTAAAATGCATTTTATTAATAAAATTAGGGAAAAGTTACATGAAAAATTAGGTGAAATGGTGCTCTACAGTAACTTCAGTCACTAAAGTAACTTCAACATTAGCTATTTTAATGACTATTCATTCCAACACGCGAAATAAAATACTACGTGTTTGATAATTAAAGTTGACCGATAAGCTGAAAACGCGTGCGTTACGAAACACAATTTCCTGACGTGAGGTAGGGGGAATTTATAAAAATCTTAAATAATCCAAGCTCAATTTTTAGGATGTTTTCACTTGGACGGTAATTTGCTAGTTTAGTCTGGTATGGGACAAATTACAGTCCAAGTAAAAACATCCTATAAATTATAGAGCTTGGATTATTTAAGATTATTATAAATCCAAAAACAAAAACAAAAAACAAAAAGATTGTTATAAATCCCCTGCCTCAAGTTAGGAAATCTTGTTTAGTAACTATCTCTTTGTATGTTTAATAAAATAGAATGAAGGGATGACAAGATAAGATATTTAGGGATTATATTTCCACAAGAGTATTAGTGGTGCCGGTATTTTATCCTTTCAGCCTCCTCCTCAGTTCAGTCAGACATTGTTACGGTGGAGTATTATGTATGTATGGTTGTTGGGCGGGTGAAGCAAGAGGAGCTGAACAGCCCTGGTTCCGATGGACAAACGCAAAAGGAAATCCGGCGGCGGCTTATCCTAGCGGCGTCGGGCTTGGTGAAGGAGCTGAGGCTGAGCTGTTGGTGAAGGCAGAGAAATGGAGAGAGTAAGCATTCCATTCACTAATCAAAATCAGTTCCCACACCGACCAGGCCAGAGAAGGAAGAAGAGAAACGTAAGCATTCCATTCACTAATTAAAAAATCAGTTCCCACACCGACGCCGGAAGGCTGAGCGACTCCTGACTGGGTCTATAAATAAACAGGTACAGTTGCAGATATACTCGCCCTTTGGGACTGACCAAGTCCCGCTGGGTTGGGCTGGCCACCCTTTGGGGCCGGCCCCGGCTCCCTCTTTGGGCGCCATTAGGCTTAGGTTAGGTAGGTAGTTAGGGCTAGGCTTAGGTTAGGTTAGGCTTAGGCTTAGTTTAGGCTAGCTTAGGTTTAGCTTTAGGTTAGGCTTAGGGCGGTGGGGGCGTTATGCTGCCTCCATGCCGTCCTTGGCCGCCCGGGGTGGCGTTATGCTGCCTCGGTGGGCGCCGCGTGGCGCCAAACCCCCCGTGGGGGGGGTAGGGGGGGGCAGGAGCAGTCGAGGGGGGAGTCGAGGGGGGGAAGAAAGGGGGGAATCGGGGAAGAAAGAAGAAAGGGGAAACGGGAAAGAGAAGAAAAGGAAACTAATAGAGACTATCTTTTATTTTCACTTGCCTTTGCATCACCCAGGATCCATCACAGGTCTGCATACATCAAGTAGGATATATTCTTTATGAACGTAAATGCTAGCAAGTTATTATATTATTGGTGAATGCGGCTCAGTTCTTTTCCATACGCATTGCACATACTACTAGGGAAACACAAATTCTCGCTTCCCTTTCCAAACAGGAAAAGGAAAAAAGAGTGATATTTACCATGCTGGGGTGTTTAGGTTGTGATGCTGGAACAAATATTATGATCAGCAATTCCAGATACGTTCTAGGACATGTGCTTGTTTTGGATCCCGCCCGACCAGCGCATAGGGCGCCGACTACTCGCCGATTAGTCGGCCAACTCGGTTTCAACAAAATGCCAAAAATAGATACATATTTTAAGTACAAAATACAACATTAAACATATAATCATTGTTAAGTTATCACTACAGCTTACAACAACAATCAAAACCTCACAATGAGTTCAAAAAAGCAGTACAAAACATTTTCATACACAGAATCCCAAATTTGTGCACCATCTGATCTTTAATCCACTTGATCCCTGCAAGTCTGCAACATCATTTATGCAACATCATTTAATTTTATGGCTTTTTTTTTTTTACAATTTAATACACTTTAATTTCCCTACTTTTAATTAGCCTATTTCATACGTAGTATATTATTACAAAAACCACAAAAATACATAACAAAGTTAACTATGTACCTCATAAACTCGTGTGAGGACAAACAAGTCCCTGGGCTCAGTAATTATAATGCTTGCTTCTTCATCTGACTGGGAAACCTATGGCGATATTGAACTCCGAAATCAATTTAGGCTCCTTCTATAACGTTCAAGGATTAAAAGTTTAATACAATGAACTCTTAGATTGATATATGCTAGCTAGTAGCCATTTAGAGCATTAATGAATTCCAAAATCAGTTTAGGTTGCTTAACAATTGAAAAGTAATCATATATATTCATGAACGGAAGATAAAGAAATAGACAAACTTATACCTCTCAACTCTTTTTTGAAATAAATTTTTAGTCAAAGTTTGCATGGTTTCTTTGAGGAATTTTATCGTACACTATAACCACGTTTCAAGTTCCTTCCAATATTAGTTATCATTATTTCAATTTATCACTCAGTCTCGTTTCTCACATACACCCATACTAATTACAAACAAATTATCTCAATTAAGTATCTTGTGTCAACAGAAATCAACACAGATATTCCAATCCGTCTAAATAACAAAGTAACTAAATCAAGTCATTCAAAAGATCTTTACCTACGCTGGTTCCAAAGTCAATGAAGAAGGGGCATCCGGAAATTGAAGTGAAGAGGGAGTTGTCCCTCATCAATGGACGTTCAAAGAGAAGAGTCAAACATGAGGTTTCATCAGAAAAGTGGGCATTGTTTCATCGGAAAATTAAAACAGGGCATGTCTTTTTATGCAATAGCCAAATAACAGTGTAACTATTCGGGCGACTACTCGTTCTGTGCAGCCGATTAGTCGGTAGAGCGATTTGGGGAGCAAAAACAGGAAAATCACCACGGTAGCTTGCCGAGTAGCGTCTTTCCAGCGCCTAGGCGGCCAATTTGGGCGAGTTTTAGAACCATGACTGCTACTAGTGGATGTCTCAAGGTTCTGGTCAGCTTCTCTATTCAGTTTTTAAAAGGAAGATCCAGTTTGCATGTTGTAGAGGTTTCCAAATATATGGTCTTTGCGATTAGTACGCCAACTGCTACTTTGGAATCCTGCGAGTCAACCCATCACAAAGTTTTTTAAGAGATCATCATTGACACTTTTGAAATGTGGAACAGGTGTAATAATATTTTATTAATTAATGCAATTTATATGTTTGAGTAGGAGGATCGACGAGTGTACATGAAAGGTTTGAGTTAATTTGTATCCTTTGTATATACGGCAGCCTATTTGCTATGGTTCAACATACAAATGTTGACTGTTCGATGATTGTAATAAAGAGATCAGGAACAGTTGACTTGCTCAAAAAAGCCCAGCCTGAAGACGAAGATCCACTGGGTCCAGACTTAGGGCTGGGATTTGGGCCCTATTTTGAGGAGTAAGTTTTTGTCTCCTTTGCCTAATCAAATTTAGGTCAAGCTTGTAATGGCGGACATCATCTGGGGGGCCCGCCGCCATGGAGGCAATTTCGTCACCGGATTTGGTACCGTCAGGGTTGTCACCGGAAGAAGAAGATTCGCCGCTAGAGGAAGGATTGTCGCCAGAATTATCAACGGCACCGGCGGTACCTGTCGCAGCATCAACAACGGTATCAGCACTACTGGCAAGCGTGTCATCACCGGTTGCCATATCCCGAACCACCACCCCATAGGGTCTGGAACCAGAGGGACCGGACGAACTCGGTTGATCAGACATTGCGGCCGAACAAGAATGGAGAAAAGACGAAGAGAAGGGATGAAGAATACCTGAACAAGAATGCCATGCAAAACCCTAGAGAGAAGGCAGAGCTAAAGCATGAAGGAAGCAAAATGTGAAACCTAGAACCGGAGGCCCACGAGCCTATTTATAGCATGACAAGCACTGGTTCATTGGCCAATCAAAAGGAGACACGTCACCAGGAACGTCTGAAGTCACACGTGTCACACGGAGGAAGAGTAACAGGTAATCATGACGGTTATGGGAAACTAGAAAGGCAGTCGCTAAAAAACCGTCAAGTTTCTGCATCGGAAATCGGCGAAATCTCGTTCGATATTTCTCGAACGGAACTGTTAACAAATTTCTCTACTTCTTTATGCCTTCTCTACCGTTCATTAGGACATCAAAAGTGGGGGACTTGTGTTGGGATATTGGGCCGAAGCCCAATATTCGGCCCAAAATAGCTAAGGGCCCAAGCAAAAGGACAAACCCAAAGGGGACACAGTACAAGAGTTATGAGATCCCGAATGGGATCCTATCCATCGAGGAAGATGTCGTTCGGCATACCCCGAACGGCCCAATTATCCAACTTGGAATAAAAAGCAATGGCATCAACCATGTTCATCTATGGACTTCAGAGACCGACCCCCCCCCCCCCCCCCCCCCCCCGACCGGGAAGTTCACAAGGGGCAAGCTGCATTTAATGCTAGAGTATGGTGGCAGCAAGTGGAGGCATGAGTGCACAAGTGGCAAAGGCAACAGCTAACCGGGTTCGGCCATGTCATCATCCCACCTACCCTCTCTAGTATAAATAGAGACATTAACTACATTGTAAAGGGTTAACATTTTGATACTCAGAGCTTAGATAAGATCATATCTCTAATTCTTGTATTAGTCAACATCCCGACGTACTGGTCGGGCAATTTGAGTGTGATCAGAGAATTACTTAGTACAAGATTGGCTTCTGAGTTCACATTATTCAATCTTTTATATTTGATACCCTTTTGAACCAAGATCAACGTCCTTAATATCCAAAGCGTGTGTTGGGCTTTCGGATATGCAGGACTAAACTTTAACAAAGACGATTAGAGAGTAGGAAGAATTTGATATTGCACCCCATTTTTTAAATTGATTAATGTATGTACCCCATCAATCCAAAAATTGTGAATGAGTGGCGTGCAAATTTAAACGATTTTACAGTGAATTGGGGTACATACAATAATGATTTTGAAAATAGAGTGCAAGACCAAATATCACCCAAAAATGGAATGCAAAGTTAAAATTTCTCATTTTTTATATTCATAAAATACATTTTAAATATAGTTGTTTTCATAATTTAACAAGTTATCTAACCCAATTGTTTCAACTAGAATTTTATAAATTTTAACAGATTTAACCGATTGAATATTACTCTTTTCTCTTAACTATGATTCTCTCACTATGGTCTTTTATATCAACTGAGGGGAGTACTCAAAAGTAATGAATGTTTTATTTTATAGTTAAATATTCAATATTTCGATTATAAAAACTACTACCTCCGTCCCACTAACAATGCGACAAGAGGTAGACACACAAATTAATAAAAACTGGTGTATGTGGCTGATATTGAATTGATAAAGTATGAATAAAGTAAGAATTATTTAGAATCACACAAACTTTATCAAATTTGTTATGTGACAATCTTAGTGAGACGGACCAAAAAGTGAACTAGACTACTAGAGAGTAGTCCGTGTGATATTTTCGAGCTAATGATTATGTGTCTCATCATTTTGTAAATTCTATAAATTGTGGCTTCTTTCATCCTAATTTGATAATCCGGACAACTTTATCAGGAATGTTCATTATATACGAAACAATTTCATTTTTTGAACATCAATGATTAATACCCTTAATTTAGTCAATTTCTCGTTCCAAATTAAGGCTGGGTAGGTAAACCCCCAATCAGACTCATACCCCTTTAAGTGACAATATTTGTGTGGAAGAAACGGATTCCATGTGAATCCCTTATCATCATAATGTACGGAGTGTAAAATAATTCCCACCAATTCATTCCCTTTTAACACTTTCTCTTTTCCTTTTCCAAAAAAGTTTGATGTACATTTTTTTTGTATATCATTCGTACACTGTCTATTTATATAAATAAAAGAGTTGTGCTAGATGTACGCATTGTATGTGGACAGATAACTCTGTGTGCGTGAGACAAACGAGTGTACGAAAGGTATACACTAAGGCTATGTTTGGCACAACGGGCTGAAGCTGAAGGCTAATGTCTGAAATAGGAGCTATTGTCTGAATGATAAACTATTGTCTGAAGCTGAACATTGAATTGCTGAATCTGAATCGCTAGCTGGGTGGAGTAGACCCGTTTGGCAAAAAGAGCTGAAAACATGCAGGAATAATATGAAATTACATTAAAGGACATATGATTTATTAATATAATAAAGTGTGTTTATCATAATTATTTTTATATTTACATCTTTTGGTAAAATATATGTATACATGTAATATAATACATATTATATAATTTAGTACTTCGTATAAAATAATATAATAAGAATTTTGTTTTTTATTTTAAAAAGAGAAAAACCGCAAACATGAAGTAGAAATGAAACTTGTTAGACTTTGATCCACTAATCAAGTCAATATAAAAATAGATAATCAATATACTAGTGCAGAAGAAACCTCAGAAATTAGAGGGATGATGTGTATCCACTATCCATTATCCAACAAGCAATACACAAACAAATATATAATCGAAAAGAAAAGCAGATGGAGATAAATTCTTGGGAGAAAGCAATGATCAACGAATTGAATAAACTGATCACCCGATGGAGTAAATAAAGGTGAGTCTGGAGGATAATTTGGGAACCGAATTTTTTTTAATAACCGGCTGAATACAAACGTTGGAGTTGATAGCGTTTCTATCCAGCTCTAATTTTTCAGGTTCAGCCCATTTAAGTTCTTTTGCCAAACAGGTCTACTTGTAAAATAATTGACTGAAATTTTAATATTTCAGCTCATTTTGAGCTTATTTGGCTTGCCAAATATAGCCTAAAACTAAAATATGTACACCATGCATCTTTCTAAATAAAATTGTCTCTATGGAAACAACTTTTGTATTTCTTTATCCGTATTTTATATGGACAATTATGTTTGTGTGAATAGTGAACAAAAAAAATGTATGTCAATCATTCTTTTTGCTTTTCTGTTCACACACTTTGTTACAGATGAAATTGTCTATATATAAACAATTTATATACTACGTATTTCTTTGTATTTCTATACAAACGATTATACTACCTCCGTCCCGTTGGAATTTCCCGGTTTGACCTACACACATATTAAGGAAATAAACTTACCAGGGGGTAAATTTTACTGTTTGACACTGTTTTGCACTGTTTGACACTGTTTTGATGTAGGATAACTTTCCATTTAGGGAAATGAGAACTTTCCATTGGGACATCCAAAAAAGGAAAGTGGGAACATTCCAACGGAAACATTTCCATTGTGAGGAGAGATAAAGTGTGCGAATTAGGAAAAAAAGGTGTACGCCAATCTCTTTTGCTTTTCTATATACTCCGAATAAAATCACATTGAGTGCGAGGAAAGTGAGCAATTCTGCCACACCAAATTAAATTAGGACTAATATGGTAACTAGGGGTGGTTCCGTACGGTATACCTTATATTTTTTCTCATACCTTTGCCGTACCAAAATTTTCGGTATGCAAAATTTGCATACCTTTACCTTACCGAAGTTTCGGTATACCGCATTTCGGTATACCGAAGTTTCGGTTCGGTAACGGTACGGTATCGGTAAATTACCGTGCATGTCTCCCAATACAAAAAATTATCATAGACTAACGAAATATACTAAATCGTTATTACTAGTGACATATTAAATTTATTATTAAAATGTTACAGAATACAATTAATAATCTATTGATGTCAATTCAATATTGAACAATAATTATTATTAGTATATTTAAGCAGTTCAACATATCACATATTAAAAAGTAACGCATTCTCCTAAAATAACTTGAACAATATAGATATAATTAAATCAATAGTGATCTCTAACAAAAATAAATAAAACTATTCAAACAACATGGATATAAAATCATTTTTATAATTTCTTAAAAATTGAATAAGACTTTCGGACAAAGTTGTGTGTCTCGACTCGCTGAATCTCTATGTACATACACTTGTCACATAAGTGTATCTCTCTTCACTCGTCAGCTACTTAGCGGCTCAGTCATCACGACTTGCAAGCTCTTGGAACAAGATGGACTTGTTTCTTGACATTTGTACATTACTCATTAGTCATTTAAGGTTAGCATAGTAGAAGCCTATAAGGTTATAGTGAGTTTGAGAAATTGGACCTTTATTTTTGTATTTTTGTATTTGTAACCAACTTAAGTATTAATTTTGGGCTTCAAAATTGTAATGAATTGCTACAATATATTAGAATTAAAAGTAATTGTTGAGTAGAGAGTCGGTACGGTATTATACCGGTATACCGCGGTATTTGAAAACATTTACCGTTACCGTACCGAAATAGACCGGTATGGTATGATACCGTACCGAAAATGACGGTATACCAATATTTCGGTATTTTCCAGTATTTTTCGGTACGGTAAGTGCGGTATACCGATATTTCGGTATTTTTGCCCACCCCTAATGGTACCTAACGCTGGGGAATGAAATTAAAGCACGAGGGGGGACGTGTCAAATCAAACCTGCCACAAAACTCGCCATTTTCGTTGCAACAGTCTTCATATCATAGCAACACTCAAAACGCACGTGACGGAAAGTTTAGATCTTAATGTCGGATCAGTCAAGAACAGCTAGAGTGAGTAATATCGGGCGAGTCCAAATACAATTCACTGCGGGTAAAAGTAAAAAACCCACGTTTTCCTCGTTCGCAAAATAATGAGTCCATGACCTTCGAGGCTGACTTATAAATATTAAAAGCACGCCCTTTTCTCCAGCTGAATCTTGATCTTGCTTTTTACTCTGGACCCAGAAATCATGGGTTCCTCCAGATTATGGTTATTGTTTTTGGTTCATTTCCTGTTTTCCGCCAACCCCATTTCACCAGCAGGCTTAGAATGGAGGCCAGAGGAGATCCCCAAGAATTTCTTGGAATTGGCCAAGGAATCTGAGGTTTTTGATTGGATGGTGGGGATAAGGAGGAAGATACACGGGAATCCAGAGTTGGGGTATGAGGAATTTGAGACGAGTAAGCTGATAAGGGAGAAGCTGGATGAGTTGGGGGTTCCCTACAAGCACCCATTTGCTGTCACTGGTGTGGTTGGGTATGTTGGTTCTGGGAACCCTCCATTTGTGGCTTTAAGAGCAGACATGGATGCTCTTTCTATGCAGGTGTGCTGCTACTGCTTTTCCTTTATTTCTGTTCTTTTAAAAAAACTACTTTGAAGTTTGAACTTGTGTGGTTTACTGATTTGTGAGTTTTAAGATTGTACTGCGAAGTATTGTTATTTTACTGCTCTTCAAATATTCTGTACATTTCTCGTTCCTAGTAGTACACCATGGTGCCAGTCTGCCAGACAGTACACGTGACATAACATGGGAGTAGTTAGTGTTAAAAGGTTTGTTAAAAAGCATTTCTTTTAAGGTCTTTTCAATGTGAGAACTGAGAAGTTTTATACTCCGAACCTCCCTAAAAGCTTTGGCCACGTTTGACTTGCACTTAATAGTTAATACTCCTTAAAAATTTGGTAGTTGAGATTTGTGCAGGGAAATTACTTTAATTACATATTCATTATTTTAAATGGAAATGACAAAGCTTTTTGGGATGATTAAAAAAGAAAATTTGGAAGATTTTCTTTTTGGGATAGAGCCAAACACTCACTTTTTTGGATAAAGCAAAATGACTCACTAAAATGTTTGCGCTTCTCTTTTATAAAGTAGCAGTCAGTTCATGCAGTTTGGACGCAATTTTCACTATAGGTCATCCTGAAACAGTCTCTCTGAGCTTTAGTATAGGAGTATGACTGCGTACATCTGACCTCCCTTACCCTAGCGTAGGTGGGAGCCTTTGCGGCACTGAGGTAGTGATATCATGCACAAGTTTTTTACAGCTAATCCCAGATTTGAATTTTCATGGTCAGTAGCAGATGGATGCAAAATCTTTTTAGCTAAACCAAAACAGTGTCATCCCTGATGTTTGGCACCATAATGTACAATTGGATGACATTATAACAGGATGAGTAGTTACTACCCTAGTCCAATAAAGAATTCTGTTTGTTCAGAATATAATCTTTTGACTTTGCTAAACAAGAATTGCTATAGATAATGGATTTGCTTGTCTTATTTGTTTTTTGTTGATTTAACTAATTTTTTTGAAGACTAGATTTGTATGATCAAAGATGATTTTTTTTAATCAAGTGTCCCACTTTTGGATTGTATTGGCTAGCTAATTGTAGCCATTTGAGTTGTTAAGATTCATAGGGTTTTACATTTTTCATAGGAATTGTTGGAGTGGGAGCACAAGAGTAAAGTTGATGGAAAGATGCATGGTTGTGGACATGATTCACATGTTGCAATGCTTCTTGGTGCTGCCAAGATTCTTCAAAAAAATAAACACATGCTTGAGGTTAGATACTATATCACTGATGATATCTGTTATAATGTGTGCTTCATTCAAAATATTCTGTAGGTGGGTTTATCTGATATCATTCAGGGGGGGAGAGCATTGCAAGCTATTTCAATGGTTTCCATTTAACTCACATGGTGTTTATCCTCAATCAGCCTTCATGTGTTTTTGTTGATTCAATTTGTTAAGCACATTCATTGGTTCTTGTTTTGACCAATTTATCTTTAGAATTACCCTATCCCTAACCTTTCCCTTAGTTTTTGCCACAAAATAAACAATAAGCACTCTTATATCCCATTTGGTAGGGATTTTGTTGTTGCTGCTTAAATAACTGAATCTGCTAAATATTCTGAAGGAGAAAAATTTGGCAAAACTAAAATTAGTTATTTTGCTTATAGGGTACCAATGCTACCATGCATGGCCTTATATGGCCGAAGTGGATGTTACCAAATGCTTTTCCCAAGAAAGTTCAGCCATTCAACAATTTCATTTCAGCCAAACAACGCCTACCAACCAGGTTTCTCTGATTGAGATCTAACAAATTGTTAGTGCAATATTTTTTACAGGGAACGGTTGTTCTGGTTTTCCAACCAGCAGAGGAAGGTGGAATTGGAGCTAAGAGGATGCTAGATGCTGGTGCGCTAGACAAGGTTGAGGCCATCTTTGGTGTGCATGTATTTCCTAGCTATGCTCTAGGCGATGTGGCAGCCAGAGCGGGGCCCATAGGTGCCGGAAGTGGTTTCTTTGAGGCAGTGATAACCGGGAAAGGCGGTCACGGTGCTATTCCTCAGCATGCAATTGACCCAATTCTCGCTGCTTCAAATGTCATTGTCAGCTTACAGCATCTTGTCTCCCGAGAAGCTGATCCTTTAGACCCTCAGGTAATATATAATTGCTTTTTGATCCATTATACTTCGAATAAAAAAGGAAGGGAAGCCTTGATGCTCCGGTTAAGGTGTTGTTGTGTGACCGAGAGGTCACGTGTTCAAGTCTTGGGAGCAGCCTCTTGTCAAAATTTGATCAGGGAAGGTCGCTCCTTGTAGTGGGACCCTTCTCCGGACCCTCACCTTGTAGTCACGTCTTCGTGCACCGGGCTTCCCTTTTTTAATACTACAAATAAAAAATATTAAATATCCAATGCATCCATTTGCTACCCTAAACATTTGTAACGGTTCGGAATGGTGGAAACAAATGCTGCTTTCAGCATTTACTGTGCAATGTGTTAACCCAAGACTACAATAAGGACCAATGGTTACATATAGGCTGCAACATAAGAGGCAACAACACCGTATAGGCTGCTACCACTCTCCAATTAATGCATTTCTGCTTTCCTATCTCTTGATAGCCATGCTTCACCTTATGATTTTTAGTCCCAACTTCTGCTGAAATATAGAGTGAGTTTAGTATTACCGTTACAATGTGATGAAATGTGAATAAAAATATATTGAGGTAAAGATTGCTTCTTTTTAAAATCAAATAACCAGTAATGTTGTCAAAGCTGGCCGGGCTTTGTTGTTTGGAAACGATTTTTTACTGTGGCGGTTTATAAGTTGTTTTTAGCGTGTAGCTTAAAACCTACAATGCTGCTTTTAAATCTTACAAAATGGACTGTTGGATCACAGAGCACTGGCTTAATGAACAAATCAATATGAGAAGTAGTTCAAAAACTTCTATTGTTGGTTTGGATTTTCAAATTCTTTGAATATACGATGACTTAACACCTAACACTCTAGGACACATTTGTAGGTAGTGACGGTTGGTAATTTTCAAGGAGGTGGCGCATTTAATGTGATTCCCGATTCTGTTACTGTTGGTGGAACCTTCCGGGGATTCTCAAGGGAAGGATTCGCACATCTGAGAACACGCATTGAGGAGGTTATACTTCAACCTGTGACTAAAAACTATAACTACTGTGAATTAAAAAAAGACAATGTTATCTCAGTTTGGGAATTGTGTCCAACAGGTAATCGTACAACAAGCTGCAGTTCATAGGTGCAACGCGACTGTGACCTTCGACGAAGACACGAAACCATTTATCCCTCCCACCATTAATGACAAGGGGTTGCATCACTACTTCCACAAAGTTGCTTCTGATATGCTTGGGAGCTCTCATATCAAGGAAGCTGCACTCATGATGGCTAGCGAAGACTTTTCATTCTATCAGGAAGTGATGCCGGGTTATATTTACTTGCTCGGTATGCAGGATGAAAATGGCGATAAACTTCCTTCACCACACTCGCCGTATTTTAAGGTCAATGAAGATGCCCTCCCTTATGGTGCCGCCCTCCAAGCGTCATTGGCAGTAAGGTACCTTCTTGACCACAACCCGAAGGTTCCATCGCCAAATGCAAACAAGCATGATGAATTGTGAGGGCCCCTGTGAGAGTAATAGATCATAGTCCTCATTTCTTGGTGTATGTGTTAGCATCTGTTCATGAATTATAAATAATGTATGGCGCTTCAATTGCTTCTTTTATTTATTTATTGAGGGCTTTCTTGATCATTGTCTTGATGTAAATTAAGTCATGTTTCTCAGTTTCTCCATGATGCGCAAGCGATCATGTGTTCGTCTTTCAAATCTCAATTAAGCTTATGCGAAGATCAAACCATTCGTGATTTAGTTGCCCAAGTCACATTTAGGAGTGTTTGCCAATGCTTAAAAAAGCACTTCTCAACTTTTAATTTAAAAAAAAAACTAAAAAAGATGTTTGTCAAATTCAACTTCTAATTAAAAAAAGCACTTTAAAGTCGAAAGCTAGAAGTTGATATATACCAACTTCTAACTGTTTCTAGGTATTGTTGTAATTAAAATGAACTTCAAGGATGATTATAGTGATATTTTTTAATCCTCAACCGACAATACCCTCCATTCTTCTCGCATAACCTCTCTCATCCTCCAATCGTATCCCCTTCAAACTTGCTTCACCGGTCCTAAACAACCTGCTCACACACACATACACCAGACATGGGCGGCGACGATTGTAGTAGGGATGGGCGGCGGAGATTGTATTAATGAAGTTGATAATGTTTGAGGAAAAAGTGTTTTTGAAAAAGTAAAAGTGGGTAGTGTTTGATAAAATAAGTGTTTTTGTGTAATACGGAGTAGAAAAAGTGTTAATCAGTTTAAGAGAGTGTTTGCTAAAGATTAAAATAAGGGAGAATTTGACTTTGCACCCCATGTTTTAGGTAATATTTGAGTTTGCACCCTATTTTAAAAATCATTAATGTATGCACCCCAATTCACTATAAAATCATTTGACTTTGCACTTCATTCCCTCACAATTTTTGGGTTGATGATAATATCATTTGAGTTTGCACACTCATTTCAGTATACATTAATGATTTTAAAAATAGGGTGCAAAGTCAAATATCACCCAAAACATGGGATGCAAAGTCAAATATCACCCAAAACATGGGATGCAAAGTCAAATTCTCCCTTAAAATAAGTGATTTTCAGCTTTTAGTTTTTAAGTGTCAATGTAATCTTATATCCGACAAATCTTCATGTCAGGCCGGCCTGACGGGATGCTCCGTCCGGCCGAGCCCATTTGAGCATGTTCCCGGTGAAATTTTTTGATGAAATTTTTTGAGCATGTTCCACATCAAGTCTCGTTTGTCCGTACCAAATTTCAGCTCAAAATTCGATCGGGAAGGCATTCAAATCATTTTTTTAAGTTGACTGCAGTTTTATATGTATATTTTGACGCAGTCAACTTAAAAAAATGATTTGAATGTCTTCCCGATCGAATTTTGAGCTGAAATTTGGTATGGACAAACTAGACTTGATGAGGAACATGCTCAAAAAATTTCATCGAAACATTCCACCGGGAAGATGCCCAAAAGGGCTCGGCCGGACGGAGCATCCCGTCAGGCCGGCCTGACATGAAGACCACTCTCTTATATCCCATTTCAAATCTAGAACACATTATACGTGTTTTGATTGAATCATTTTATCAAACACTTTATTAGCTCTATAATATTTTCTTAAACCCTACATTCAATCAAATGTAGTCATTTGACATCATCTAGGATGACCTATGGTCACTGGATTTTTAAGAGCCCTGACTACAGTCATAAAGATGACATTCGTAAGAAAAGAATTAATGCACTGTAATAGTAAAAGAAGAAAACATTCGAGGCGTTTAAGCTAATATCACTTTACAACTTTTCCAAATTCATTTTAATTACTTTATAATTTTGATAACCAATTTTACAAGATAGTTGAGTTATTAAACAAGAATTAGATAGACCCATTAGGCACAACCTATTAGATAGGAAACCACTAAACCCACAAGGCCACCAAGCTTTTTTAATTACTTTGTATTACTCCGTATTATTATTGTGATTATTATCATTAATTATTAATATGTGTATATATACCGGGGATGAGGGGGGAGGGGCGTGGATGGGGCAGGGGGTGCATAACCCATCACCCGCCCCATATTTAAGCGGGGAGGAAATAATTCCCCCCATCCCCATACCCGCCCGCTCCACCACCCGCCTCAACTCCCTCCCACGAGGCGGTTCTCCGCGGGCCCCCGCCCCCATTGTCATCCTTAGGCGCTCCGCCTCCAGGACAACATGTCCGATTGTCCGATGACTGTTAATCATTCAACTGTAGGCCGCACACTCCGAAGTTCCGAACTCGGCACTACCGGTAAGAACCAAAGTCAATACTCCCTCTGTAACAAAAAAATCTATCCACTTTCCTTTTTCTTCTATAACGAAAAAATCTTCTCATCATTCTCTCAATAGTTTTGAAAATAATACACTATTACAAGTATTTTTCTTATTCTTCATTCTATCACATTATTCCACCATCTTCCCATCATACATTCAATAATTCATATCTTCTTTCATTATTCTTAATCTACCTACTTTTGAAATGAGAAGATTTTTAAGTTGCGGAGAGAGTACTAATTAACAAATGAATATATTTGTGTTGACTAATACGAAGTATATTTTCGATTCCTTTTACCATGGTATAATTTGCGATTTCTTTTACGGAGGACCATTTTCTGTCAGAGAAAATAATACAAATACCCCAAACTTTGAAAGAGTGTGAGATAAACACCCCAAACTTGTATGTAATATATATACCCCGAACTTTTATAAAAAATTATTTTCTCTCCATGATTAAATATTTTTTAGAAATATAAATTTAGAGCAATATGTACATAATTTAAAACACTCTAATATTTATTTGGATGCAGTAACATTCTATAATTTCATTTGTGAAATAAATAATAATAATAATCCGGTACAAACAAACTTTAATTGCATCCTCATAAGTGTTTTTTGTATTTCAAATTATGAAGTTAACAACATAAAATTACATTTGTGAAAAAAAACACATGATCATGGTGCTAACATAATTTTTATCTAAAGATTGAGGTATATATTGAAAGTTTGGGTATTTACTCCACCCTCATTCAAAATTTGACATATTTTAATTATTACTTTCCAATTTTCAATTTGTTTTAATTTTTCTCTCTTTTCCCTTCTGCTAGTTCTCGACTACTCTGCTTAGGTGAGGCCCCTCCACCGCCAATCCTGCGACCATATCTACTTCCACCGCCCTTACCTCCATTTCTGCCGCCTTACCTCCATATCCACCGCCTCCTCCACCTCCGCCCCATAGAACCAGCCGACCCTCTTCCTCCTCTCCCACAGCCGCGAAATTGCCCGCAAGAAATAATTCTCTGGGATTTTTTGGATAATAAGGTTAGTAATCTTTTGAGCTTATTCTCAAAATTAATGGATTTCAAATTAGTCTTAGGGCTTAAGTGATTTTATTGAGATTTGTTTGCCTCGTTAGAATTGCAAAAGGTTATTTTGAAAAAGAGTTATAGGCATAATTTTAGGGGTAGCTGAAGAAACAAAAAAAGGAATATTTTTAGGTATGATAAGATGCTAGAGTAAAAGTGAATCCTTGTAGAGAAGAAGACTGTAGATAAAGAAGAAAGGGGAGAACAGTTCTTCTCACTTGGGAGAAGATAGTGAAGAGAGGAGGAGGTGGCGGTAGGATGGGATTAATTAATTAATATTAAAAGGAACTGTTCGTCCAGTTTGTAAACAGATTTACCTGTTTGGATTATTTGTATAAATTTCTTGAGCAGAGATTGTTATTGTAGAATCGCTAGAAGTATGAATTATTGGTATGGGTTTTGCCTTGTTTAAATTATATTGGCTCACATTTATGATGAAACCAAACATAAAATTTCAAACTTTACTCATCTATTTTGTAGTTGCACACAATTTTTCTAACTAAATCCACAATCGCACCCACAGTTTGGCCATAATTTGACTCCCAAAACTCTTGCTACTGTCAACTAGGCAACTTTGTCTCCTTCATCCCAACACATTTGGCTCATAGGGATTGTAATTTCACAGAACGGAAGTTTTAAACAGAATAAGTTCATTTGAACTGTCTTCTTGAAATGAAAAAAAGTTGACAGTGAAATTTTACGTTTTGTATATAGGGACTCTTAGAGATGGATGAGGAAACAATGAGTTCAGCACGCCGAATGTCGACAAGGTCTCGTAAGATTGCTCCAAAAATGGCTGCAGCACTTGCTAACAGTGACAACCGAACACAGGTAAGCATAAAGCATTTGTTAGCAGCAAAATCCGAATTGTGTCTTTATGTTGCTGCAATAAATTTTAAATATATTTCTATTATTGTTTGAGACTGAAGACCGATATTAAAAAATCTAAATTAGTTCTTTTAATAGAAATAGAATGTTTGAGTTTGAATTTATTCAGAGCTAGTCTGGTTATGGTGTGACTGTGTGGGTATAGGCAATATTGGCCCGCCTAGATGCTTTGGAGAGTGACAATGGTGTGCTGGAGCCAGTGCAACTTGATGAAGATGATGAAGCTTCCTTAGATGAGGAGGATCAAGGTTCATTCACTCTTCTTTTCTACCTTCCTTCATTTTTTTAAATCTCTAAAGAAGATTAAAATAACGTTGATTTCTTTTACTAAAAGACATGAAAGTAAATTATAAAGTACATTCAATCTTGAAAAAGTAGTTGGCTTAGCAGTATTCTCTTAGTATTGAATTATCTTTTATTCCATAACTTGCAGCACATCAAAAGAGACAGTCCAGAGGCACAAAAAGGAAAACACGCCAAGCCAAGGCTCTTGAGAATAAGAAGGCCCCAAAGTCATTCCTTGAGCTCTTGAACGAGGTATGATACAATGATTGATTTTGCCTTGATCATTACGGAATTTCAAATGTGGCTCAGGTTTGTGTGTTTGTTTGTGGATTTTGATTGTTCTTTGGGATAGGCAAACTTAGAGTCGTTGCCTCCCCATGTGCCTACCTACTTGAGAGCAGCTGTGGGACCTCCAAGCTCAAGTAGCCGTCGTCATTTCTGCACGGTTTGTGGATTCTCTGCCCACTATGCATGTGTGCAGTGCGGGATGCGTTTTTGTTCGATCCGGTGTCGGACTATACACAACGATACACGTTGCTTGAAATTTGTTGCATGATTACAAGTTGAGTAAGAATGTACAAATAATTACATGCACGGTCAGTACCTCCTTTAAAACGGTGGCATCATGTATTCGAAGTAGAATTGACACCCCAGCT